CTTCCCTTTGATTTGAGAGCTCAAGAGTAAAAACCCGGCGTCGTGTACGGCGGCAGTTCGATGGCATCCATGTAAAGCGATATTAGTTTTATGACGAAGGTGGGAAAACACGAAAAGAGAAAGCAGCTTTCACAAGTCGTAAAAAGTCACATCACGAGAAGACTCCACGACTGCATTTTCAATTTATACACACTTTTACGACATGAAGTACAGCAATAATGTGACCGCTCACACTTGCTCGTGGCCCTCCCCAACTACTATTTTGTCTTTTCCGCGTGAACAATTTGACAGCGGTAGCTAGGCAACAATGGAACCTAAAGCTATCGTCAGCAGCTGAAACGCGTTTTATCTCGACATCCTCGAGCAGTAAAAGCCAAAGTGGGGCTTCGCCTAAAATCTCTCCCTTCTGTCACATCAAGCTTTCGCCCGCCTGTCTTAAGTGGCTCATGCTATATCGCCTTTTCCCAACAATGGAGAAGGTGGGTTGGGGGGGCAAAAATGATTACTTACGGAGGCTTCACTGTAGACCATCGACGGGTAAAAAAAAAACTGTAAATTCTCGGTGTGAATGTTGACAGTTTCATACTGAAAAGTGAAATAACACCCCAGGCTTGAAAGTTGGAAGGCCCTGAGGATGTTGGAACTCCACATGAGAACCGCGGTGCCAGCATAAAGTCAACCACCTGACTAAAAAAAACACACTTACGATCACTTGATGTGATGAAACAATCTGATGCTAGTCACTGGGTGTCAAAACCGCAGTTTTTTTTTTTTAATCTGATAGGATGTGCTTTGCTGTTAATCACGTCGTGAGGGGTGAGACACTCCCACCCGTAGCTACCGGTGTGTGTTGGGAGCGGCCACGCAGCAACCGATTCGAATCTGGGACGAAACTCGAAACTCCCGAGATATTAACACGGAGCCGAGACCACCCCCACGAGGCCCTCCCAGAACGTGGGAGTGGAGAAGACGGAATGTTTTGATGTGAGTCCAGACCTCCGTACCAAACGGACGCTTGTGGGATCCGTTTGGACATGCTTCATGTGATTGAGTGACCGACACAACCGTGCTTGGTTTAACTGCAGCTTTTCGGATTTGTCATCGCGGGTGACTTAATGATACGAGTAGATGACAGAAATAAGCTCAGGTTAACACGAGCTCCCGCTGTCACACGGCAGAATGATACTCCGCATTCTGGATTTGTGCATCAGCAGTCAGTGTCTTCCTGCTCTCGGTCTCCTCTCAAATAAAAATTTAACATCCTCATACAAAGTATAATACAGCTGTCCTAAAAGGCACCCCCCCCACACCCCCCAT